TGTTTGGGGCATTAATATGAAACCTGGTGTATTTGAGGTGAAATGGGGTTTGCTTATGAAGGAATTCAATCTGGAAGACACGAGATGGTTTAAAGACATGTTTACAAAACGTGATTCATGGATACCTGGATATTTTAATGATATTGCAATGTGTGGGTTGATGAAGACTACGTCGAGGTCAGAGAGTATGAATTCATTCTTTAATACCTACTCAGAAAGTGGTAATTTACTTTTGAATTTCATGATGAATTACGACACTGTCATTCAAAAGCAAAGGAATACTCAACGAGAGCTTGATAAGGCATCAAAGAAAGCATCATATAAAATGCAAACACCTCGAGAAATAGAACTACAAGCATCAAAGGTTTATACAAGTACATTATTTTTTGAGGTGCAAAAGGAAATATATAAAGCAAGTGTTTTCTGTACATACTCCTATGTTGGTATTGAAGATGGGTGGGAAGTTTATATTGTGCAACACAACAACACTAAAAGCGAATTTAAAAATGAATTTAAGGTAATTTAATAGTTTTTTTTAAGAAAAATGTAATGTTTATATATATTCATATATGAATACTTATATATGATTGTTCATATATGAGTATTCATATATGAATGTAAATGTGTAATTTTTGTTTAAATTGTTTTTTAATTTTTTTATTATGTTTTTGTATCAGGTTGAAATAAAAGCTGAAGAGAAAGAAATAAATTGCAGTTGTGAACATTTCAAGCGTATGAGTGTTTTATGCAGACATGCTTTTACAATAATGATGAGATGTGGTGTGAAAGAAATTCCTGAAAGGTACATTCTGAAAGATGGAGAAAGGATGTGATATCAAGAAATTATCGTTTTAGTTCTCTTCAATCTGATTCAGGGGATTGTGAGAATGTGAAGCTAGTCACTGATTCATATTATAATTTTGAATCGTGTTTGGATATTGTAAGAGATGACAAAAAGAAATTGGCTTTGTTTGCTGAGAAACAACAGATGTTGTTGAAGGAATTTGAGAGTGAGAGTGATTATACATCTGCTGGATTGAAAAGCAAGACAGATGGTGAAGTCGTACGCAAGCTTATGGGTGTTTCTTTTCCTATTCCAAAAGAGATTAATATTCATGTTCCTCAAGTTCAAAGCAATAAAGGTTCTAGAATCAAGAAAAGAATTCCAAGTGTAGGTGAAGTAGTATATGAAAATTCTAAAAAAAGAACATAGAATGTGTTCAGGATGTGGAAAACGAGTTCCTCACAATTTACGTACATGTCCAGTAAGAATTGCAGCTGCTCAATCAACAAAAGACATTTATGGTTTTTGTTTTTGTTTTTTTTATGCTTTTGGTTTTATTCATTTATGAATATATGCAGATAATAACCATAAACAATAATATTCATGTATGAATAATACACATTTATATTGATATGGTAAATTGAGATTTGAAATATATGTTCTTTTAAAATGAATATATCATATTTGTTTTTTAAATAAGTTATATTGATATGGTAAATTTATATGTGAAATACACATATTATTTGTAAATTATTCATAAATGAATACATAATATGTGGATTTATTTATCATTGAAGATGTTATTATTTACATATTAAAAGTGAATGGATATACAATGTTGTTATTCAATTATGAATAAACTTAAATAAAATTGAAAACTAGCATAAATGAATACAAATATGTGAACTTTGTTATACTAATAAATAAGTTATATTCATTCTGAACTTTTTTATGTTCATATCTGAACTTTGTTATACTAACATATTACTCGTAACTTAATCATAAATGAATATATCATATTCGTATTCATTTACGAATAAACATAAATAAACTTTGAAAATATTTGAATATAAAAAAATGACAGAAATAAGCAAACTTGTTTCTACTAATAAATAAGTTATATTCATATCTGAAATTTGTTATATTCATATCTGAACTTTTTTATACGGACATATTACTCCTAACTTAATCATAAATGAATATATCATATTCGTATTCATTTATGAATAAACAGAAATAAACTTTGAAAATATTTGAATATAAAAAAATGACAGAAATAAGCAAACTTGTTTCTATTACATAATCATTCAACACAAGATAATAAAACATGTTCATAAGCATTTCACAAACTATTTAAACGATGTTCAATAACATTTAACAAACCATCTAAAACTTGTTTCGCAGAATCATCTTACATGTACTTCAAATTCATTCATCTTCAACACAAACTGTTCTATACCATCACACTTCATCACAAGCAATCATCAATATTCTTTTAACATTTTCTGAATTGTTTGCATAGCCTTGTATACGCACTTTGAATTTAACTTTTTGATATTTTTCAGCAAGATCCAACACCTTAGCCTTCACCATGTTAATTTCAGAAGTTAGCATTCGGTGTGCATACCTTTGCCTGAGCTTCTCTAAAGTAGTTTGTTGAATTGCACTTTCTTTATGAAGACCTGGTTTCCACTTTGAGATTGGTTGTCCCATATAGGTCTCCATATGTCTCATTGCAAAGACCCCACAATCAACTTTGTTTTTAACTGTTCTCCATGGCATTTCAAGTCGTTAGGGTGTGATACTTTCTTTTGAGATTTCATTTGCTCTTGGATGGTTTATTTCTTTAAAGTATCTCACAAACAAATTTTTTTGATCATTAAATAAAATAAAAGTTAGATATGTAATAAATTGGTTCTTTTATGTTGTTGTGAATTGTGTACATACCAAAGGTTTCAATAGTACTCCGTATTTCCCTTCATAATCCCCCTCAACTGCACTGTTGTCCAGAATTTCAATTGATGGTTTCTTTAAGTTGAAGACAATCACAAAAATGTGAGCACTTCTAACAACTGGAAAGAATACATGTTTTTATGTATATAATGGTAAGTATTTTGTTGATAAAATATATATAAAAAACAAGTTTAATTAACATACCATGTCAATATCTTTTATGTTCAAGATTTTTTTGTACCCATCGGTACTGTCATGAAAGTTCTCCTTGAATTTTTCATACTTTCTTTCATCAGACAATGTTGAAGTTAGATAAGCAGTCTGTAACCAATATAATTTTAAAGGATTAGTAAATTGTTAATCATAAATGAATTCATCATGTTGGTATAATAATCATAAGTATATACTAAAGATATTTATTTTTGATTTTTTATTCAAAGATAAATACATAATCATATGTGAATTTCAGTTGAATATACATAATTATATTAAAGAATACATCATATTGGTATAATCATATGTGAATTTCAGTTGTAAAAAAAATATAATATTCATAAATGAATACATCATATTGGTGTGTTCATTTATCAATAAAGAAGAAACTAAGGTTAGAACATAAACTGCAACTTTCAAGAAGAGTCTGTATGGTGAATTTCCAAAATCCCTTTCCAGTTCTTGGTGGTTAAGTAAATCAGCCCAAGTGTCTAAAACTTCTCCAAAAATTTATGTGCTTGCATATAGACTTTCCATAATTTCTCTTTCTGTTATCTGACCATATTTTGTCTGGACAACCACATCTCTGCAAATATATAATCAAAATGTCATACATTATTATCTATATGATAATCATATATGAATGTATATAAAATAACGTTACTTACGATGTATTCCCTTGCAAGTTGAACAACCACTCACAGACAATACTCTCCTGATGTGTCAGTTTAGGTTTTGTGTCTATTATTCTGCATTTAAAAGGTGATTTGAAAACATCGGCAAGCTTCTTCTCTCTTGGTTGATCCAAATTATGCTTTGATGGTCCTACTTCAGTAGGAATTGCTACAGAGATTAGTTTTGGATTAAGAACATTTTTGTTTGCTAATCTGATAACAACATTCTGATGGTCGTCTTTGATTTGTTTCATTGTAAGTGGTTTTTTTGGTGAAGATTCATTAGATTTTTTACTTGAAGTTTGATCTGAATCTTGACTGAGACCTAGACTAAAGCTTGGATGAGTATCTGCATGTCAGGAGATTTATCATATAAAGTTGTAAGTTAATTATAATAATTTTTTATATTTTGAAATGTTTTTCCAAATTGTTACCTCCTTCATTTCCTTTTGTCTTGTCAGCTTTTTCTCCTTTTTTGTTTTCATTTTCTAACTTTTTCTTTCCTGAAAGATAAAGAAATTTGATTAAGTAATTCATTTGTGAATAAGTAATGTATTCATTTATGAATAAGTAATGCATATCATTACTTATGAATAAGTAAAACTATATTTTTTATTTATTCGTATATTGTGTTATTTATTTGTGAATAATAAAACTGATTACATTCATTTATTAGTGAATCAACTATTTACCTCTATCTTCTGCATTTCCTTTATCAATTTCTGTTTGTTTATCTGCACCTCCATCTTTTGTGTTCTTAGCTTCTGATCCTCCTTTATTTCCATGTTCAGAGTTTTCCTTGCCTGAAACATATACATCATATATGAATATTTTATATTTTTTACTCATTTATATAGTGTATTATTCACTTATGAATAAACAATGTTATTAAAAAAATCTATATAAATATTGTAATATATTTTAAATCATTCATTTACCTGTATCATCTTCATAAATTAATTATATTTAATATATAACATTAATTTGATCTTGCAGAAAAGGGAAAACCAGAAGGTGTACATAAACAAGGAAAAGAAGTTGAAAAAACAAAACCCTTTGTTTTTTCAACTTCTTTTCCTTGTTTATGTACACCTTCTGGTTTTCCCTTTTCTGCAAGATCAATTTAATGTTATATATTAAATATAATTAATTTATGAATTAGTGATTAAAGAGAATAAGTTGATAGTAACATACCTTGAATAACTTGACTGATCAGAGTATTAGTTTCACTTCTAGTCATTGGTGAGCCTGGTCAAAATTTAATAAACAAAATTGTTATTGTGTATTAATACTTTTATATATTTTTTTAAAATTAAAATAAGACTAAATTTACCTATATCAATATTATCCAAAATAGTTTTCATTTCAGGGTCATTCTAGATTTCATCTTCTTGACTATTTAAATTGGAAAATCCAATTCCAAGGACATTATCCACAATGTTGTCAACAACTTTATCCAACAAATTTTCATTTTCAGTTTGTTGAATAGTCTCTTCATGATTATTTGTTTCTTCAGCATCATCATCTTTTTTCTCTTCATCATTGTCATTTTCATTGTTCTTTCCATCTTTCTCTTTTACTTCAGTTTCACCTTCTTTTTGATTCTTACCTCCATCATTCTTTATTCCTTCATTCTCTGTTTCATTTGAATCAAGCAAATAATCTACTTCCGGTTGACTTTCATCATTATCATTGTCTTCTTCACCATTTTCCTCTTTATCTTCATTTTCTTTTTGATCATTTGTTTTTTGACCCATTATTGGTGTCAAATTGATTCCTTCAACTCAAGTTTCATTACTTGGAAATTAAAAAGTGTTGTGCTTTCAGTTTTTTCTTCAACAGTTATATTAGTCATCTTTTCTTTGGAAATCCTAAAACTTTCCTTTTCAGGGAACTTTGTTATCGCATCATTGAGCTTTGAATTCAGCTTTTCCTTCATCCTCTCAAAACTATTAAGCATTTTAGATATTTTTGATTCATATGCCTATGTAATAAAAAGAAGTATGATTAGAATTTAATATAATAATTTAATGTAATCATATACTACTATTAACATGTTCAAACTAATTACCTCAACAGAATGATCTTCATCTTTATCAGAATCACTGTCTTCGAGATCTGTATCTCCTTCATCTTGTTCATTAACAAATTCTTCATTTAATTCTCCAAGTCCAAATTTACCTTCTATTTGTTCAAATGTCTCTCGATATCTAATCTTCTCTGAACTCCAATAACAAATTGTTGGACGTTTACGTGTTACCGTTAAAGCTTCTGAGTGGATGTTATCAGCATAGAACAACTACACATAAATGATAACTAATTGATATTCATATATGAATAAGTATTTCAAAACCAATTATTTCATACATGAATATATATATATATATATATTCATATATATATATATATATTATATATATATATATATATTCATATATGAACAAGTAATATTTATTTTTTACTTATTCATATATGAATAAGTAATGTAAAGCATTACATGTGAACAAGTATATTTTTCTTATTCATATATGAATATGTGCTATTTAGTTATGAATAATTAATATTATTAAAAATTGAGTATAAACATTATAATAACTTACCACCAAGAAAGCTGAAGGTCCAACAAAGTAGTTGTTATCTGAGTATGGTATGTACGAGTTCTTTGTTCTGACAAGACAGTCCAAAACATAGCTGCACCAGTTTATGTTGCCGATATCTATTTTTATTGAAATATAACTCAAAGGAAACAGGTTGCATCTTCCCATTGATGTTGACTCACACAACGTGTTTGACAAAAAGAACTAAGAAGTTCAGTTTGAAATTGAAATCAGCTTCTATTGTACTAACAATAACTTTTTTGATCGCATTCAATCGGATGATTGATCCTTCTTGAAATTGTTGCTTCAATTCATCATAACTAGTATCATCTTTAGGTCATTGATCCAGTTGTGTAAGTATGGTTCCACCTATTGGAATGCCCAACATGTCATGAACAGACTGTGTTGTTACTTTTTGTTCCTTTCCTTCAACATCTATCAGCATTCTCTCATAATCAAATTTTTGAAGAATATAAAATCACAACTTCAGTGGTATATCTGTGATTTTCATTTTTAGCAAACTTCCAAAACTCATAGATCTTACACACTCTTTTTGTTTTTTGCTCAACCCAAGGATTATAGATAGTAATGACTCTGGTGAACATCTGTTTTTCATCAAGTAAAATTCCTTTACCACTGGTTTTTTTCTCTTTCTTGATTGGTGACTCCTTTTTTTTGCCTTCTTTGATTCCCGACTACTTTCAAAATCATACTCTGAATCATGTAGTTGTCGTTTTTCAGGAGTTTTCCTTTTTGATGGACTTTTTCTGCATTGATGCCTTCTTTTCTTTGGTGTTTTTTGTTTCTTTTTTATCTGGGAAATGAAAACATATAATATTTGAATAAGTTATTGATATATGAATACATATATGCTCGTTTATTTATTAATATTTATTTATTACAAAAATATAACTAGGATATACAATTTTATTCATATATGAATATATTAGATATGATAGGAATTTTGTACCTTTCGCATTTTTCCTCTTCAAATCTGTTTCTATCATTGTTGTGGGGTCTTTATCAAAAATACAATTTCTTACCTCATGAATTAGTGAGCAGAAGATAAATAATTTTGAAATACATTTTACACAAGAAAAATATTTTATATTTATAAATGAATAAATGAAGATAACAGTTATATATATATATATATATATATATATATATATCTATATATATATATATATATATATATATATATATTATATATATATATATATATATAGGGCTAGGTTATAATGTGGATTGTAATATTGTGTGGATATAGGGA